TCTTTCCCCTTCCTTATCCGCCCACGCCTCCCCCTCCCCCCCCTTCCTCCGTGACCGCTTCCCAAACGAACAAGCCGCGGGCCCAGCCCTCCTGCCACTCCACACCCTCTTCCTGCGCCAGCTCTCCGACCTGCAGACGTTTACGGGCGCGCTGGGGGGTGCAGGCGCGGCGCCGATTGTGGCATCTGGAGATCCGGAGCGGCCGTTTCGGGTTGGGGGGGATACGTTTGATCGGTTTGAGGGTGCGGGGGAGAGGAGTTGCGATGTGCAGTTTCAGGCGTGTGCGGATGTTGTTAATGGGGGTGGAGGCGGGAATGGACAAGGTGGGAATAGGCAAAGTGGTGGAGAGGGGAATAGGCAAAGTGGTGGAGAGGGGAATAGGAACGCTGATGGGAATGGCGATCGCAATGGAAATGGAAACGGAAATGGAAACCAAAACAATGGCCAACAGAGATTCGACAAAAGTGACAACAACGGCAACAACGGGGGCAATGGAAACGACAGGGACAACGGCCGAGATGGCAGAAATGGCAATGACGGGAACAGAGCCAACGGAGGAAACGGAAACGGGGACAACCGAACCGGAGCCAACGGCAACAATGGAAACGCAGACGGCGACACCAAGAACAACAGAGACGACCGCAACAGAAAGGAACCAAACAACGGAACCCCAAACCAAAACAACAAGAACAACAAACGACAATCCAACAACAACAACCTAACCATCCAACAATGCGAAGACCAGAGAAGTAAGTCCCCTCATCAGACCTCCCAAACCCTTTCCTCCTTCCTCTCTTCCTCCAAAACCACTCACCAAACTAACCATGACCCCCCAGACGCCTGCAAACAAGCCCAACAAGCGGCTCCAGTAAAAGACTTTGAATCGGCAGTGGCGAGCACGAATATCGGGCCGGACCCGGAGTTTCCAGACTTTGATTTGATTTGTGAGATTTGAGGGGTTGAAAGTTGAATGAATGGGTGGATGAGCGGGGGAGGAAGGGGGAGGGGGAGAGGGATGGGAAGAAGAAGGAGTAGAAGACGACGACGACAGAACGAGAAGAAGCAACCTGCCTATCATCCCAACCACCGACACCATACCATCACATCAACATACCCAAAAAGTCCAGCCCAGGAAGACATATCACACAAACACAAACACTGGACATCTTCAACTCCACAAACCTCTCCCTCTACCCCTCCATCAACAACTCGCACCAATCTGCTGCAACATCTTTGATCGGAAAGAGCATGATAAAAGCCTCGATTCTACAGAAGCACCAGGACAAAGAGACGAAAGAACAGACATGTACACATCTAATCATCTATAACCCCCACATTGCCTCCCCTGCCCTCCTCTATTGCAATGTTTATTTCGCATCCTTGTATTTTTGCTCGTGCACACCAATCGCACTGTCGTCGTGTCAGTCCTGAGTTTCTTGTTCCATTCTGTCCATGCTAGAATTGGGGGAATACATACCGGCCAGAGGGATCCGTCTGGTTACTCCACGTGGGCGTCCACCTCATGACGGTGCTGGCGCAATAACTCGGGAAATGCTCGTCAAACATGCAGCGGTACCAATACGCCTCCTTTGAATCTGGGATGTCGGTTCCCCACTCGGGCTTGGGGTTCTTCATCATCTCATCCGTGACGTGCAATTCGGCCGTGTCCTTGAGCGCGTCGATCCAGCCGTAGCCCACGCCGTCGGAGAATTGCTCCTTTTGTCGCCAGAGAATCTTCTCGGGTAGGTAGGGCTGTGTGTCTGGCTCGTCGGTCGTGTCAAAGGCCTTGCGGAGAATATACTTTTCGATGCGGCCCGGCTTGTGGAGTTTCTCTTCAGGGTCAATGGCCATGGCAATGTTGAGGAAATCCTTGTCCAGGAAGGGAACGCGAGCTTCGACACCCCAGGCAGATGTAGACTTGTTGGCGCGCAGGCAGTCGGACAAGTGCAGGTTCTTGACACGACGAATGCATTCTTGGTGGAAGGACGACTTGTCGGGCGCGTTGTGGAAGTACAAGTATCCGCCAAAGATCTCGTCACTGCCTTCTCCAGACAAGACCATCTTGACGCCCATGGCTTTGATTTTCCGACTGAGCAGAAACATGGGGGTCGAGGCGCGGATGGTGGTCACGTCAAAGGATTCGAGGTGGTAGATGACGTCGGTCAGCGCGTTGAGACCATCTTCAATGGTAAAGGTAAATGTGTGGTGCTTGGTTCCGAGAAAGTTGGCCACTTCCTGGGCTGCAATGGCATCGGGCGCATTGGGCAGACCAATGGAGAAGGAGTTGAGCTGACCGAGGAGGAGATCCGTCTGGAGCTCGTTGGAATCGTCGATACCAACAAGTTGGCCCTGCGAGTCTTGAACGGAGCCCTTGTTCTCAGCTGCACGCTTCCTCGTTGCCTCGTTCAAGCGCAGAGTTTCCCGCTGCGCAATCGACGCGACCAAACTCGAGTCGAGACCGCCAGAAAGAAGGACACCAAAGGGTACTTCTGCCATCATGCGTTTTCGCACTGACCTCTCGAGCGACGTCCTCAGTTCCTTGTAATCTACAGGCTTTGTGGGAATGTTGGTCGGCTCAACAAGCCACTTGGGGTCGTAGTAGCGCTTCAACTCGTCCGTCTTCGAGTCATAGACGTGGCCGGGCGGGAAGGAGATGATGTTGTCGCAAACTGGGTGAAGACACTTCAGCTCAGAGGCAAAGTAGACGGCGCCGGGTGTACTGCTTGATCGGCCCATGTAAAATGTGGTGATTCCAATGGGGTCGCGTGCTGCAATGACACGGTCTTGCTTCTTGTCGTGAAGAACCCATGAGAACATGCCGTCCAAATGGCGCGGCGCATCGATGTCATGCTCGAGGTACTGTGGGTCATCAGTCCAATCCTGCGTCTTGCTACAGCCAATCTTGCTCACCAGAGGAATGATGACCTCGCAATCTGAGTGTGTCTTGAAGTTGTATGGGTTCTTGAGGCTCTTGCGGAGGATGCGGTGGTTGTAAATCTCGCCATTGACGGCCAGGGAGACGGTTTCGTCGTCGTTGATCAGTGGCTGCGCGCCGGTGTCTATGGTTGTAAGCCTTTGGATAGTAGCAAGCTACCCAGCTCATGGCTACGCACCAACACCAACGATACTCAGACGCTCGTGAACAAGGACTGCAGACGATTAGTACCGAGATTGCCAACCATTGCATTCTCTGGACTCACTCGTATGGTTCGCAATGTGGTTGCCACCTGCAAAACATCAGTGCCCATGCTCTTCGGCGCAAATCGTCGTAGTTATGGCTTGCTCACTCCAATCGGGACCCCGATGTCGGACACTGCATATCCTGAGTCAAACGCGGCGTTGCAACAGTGCTCAGAAGCTGGACTTACGCCTTGCCCATCTTCAGGGCCGTGGGCTTGAACTTTTGTACATCAGGATGCCTGGCAATCAGATCAGCCAACCTGTTCTTCCCACCCCACAAATAAAGTTCGGCGGGGAGCATTGGACAGTGATTGCATACTGGTGACAAGCAAAGATACCACACATGGTGGGCGAGTGGAAGAAATCCGAGTTTGTGTGAAGGAGGGGAGAGGATCAATGGGAAGGCGTGGATGATTAACAACACCCCCCAAATAAAAAATAAGCCGACCAGCGTGTGTGACTCTTTTTGCCTTCGGTGGTTGAAATTATCTGAAAGCCCATCCGTCCAACGCCTGGCCTACGGCGCCCGCATCGGTAGTACTGCCCCTCCAGTCTAACCGCTTACGGGCGTGTTATCCATACCGCCAAAGATAACACAACCTAGTTTCGACATGCAAGCAAGCATGGGGCGTGAGATGAGTCCAAGGAAACGGATCCTATGCACATGCGAGGTTCCACTGAAAGTATCCGTTGGCTCGCTTGTAGCGGGACGAGGTTACCTACTCTACTCTTATTGCTCTTGTGACTGTCCGCGTGTTTGGCAATTGAATCGTGTCCTGGATCGACAAGCGCGCGGTAGTTTGGTTTTGCTGCTTGTGGGCAAGAAATTCTCAAACTCAACCGCTCGACAGCCCAGATCAGAGTTGGAACTGCTAGCCTGGGAACATGAGTACACGGAGAAGGATCATTCTGTGCTAGACGAAAATGCTACCATGTTGATACGACGACAGCTTCGTCACCACACCCATGGATCCCCAAGCCCGCCATGGGGAGAGCAACAGCTGCGGATCCATGTACGTAACCAACTACCAATCTAGCTCCAGCAACGAATTACACACACAGAAATTAATGACCTTCCACCCATCCCCTTTGCCGCCCGACTACCTTTCTCCACACTCCTTGCCCAAAAGTCTCGCTTTGCCTGAAAGAAACGTCATTAGATGATCGACGTTCCTGCCTCATAGATCCGGGGTCGTGTCGGGGATCGCCATCTTCCCAGCTCATGCAATCCCCGTAGCTGCGCGGAGTAGAATCAAAACAGGAAGTATGCGATGAGGAAGCTCAAAAGACACAGGATAGCCGTAATGTGCACTGGTACGCCTCCCGCATTCACGGGCGGGCTCACAGTGGCGGCCGAAGTTGTCGCTGTCGAACGGGAGCTGGGGTCTGCCCTTCGCTGGCGAAGACCGGCGCTCTCGCTGACTTGTTGCGTGAGTCTTGCAATCTCTGCCTTGGCCTCGTCGAGCTGTGCCTGGAGCGATGCTGTACTCGGGAGCGCATTGGACACGCTGGCTGCTGCGGCGTTGACGGTCGATCTTAGGCTGCCAGTGGATGCTGAGCTAAACGTCTCGTTCTGGATTTCGCCCAGATGCTTGCTGCCTGACGGCCTCTCTGAGGGGACCGATACAGGCCCGGAAGCTTCCGGTACACCACGCTGAGGAGTGACGGCTTCAGGCGAAGGAGAGGATGCGAGGAGGGAATCGCGGCTGACCCCGTTGGTCCTGGCCGGGGTGGACGCCGAGTCATCTGCGGGGAGGAACAGAACCCTAATCTTCTTCTCTTGAATCGACGACTTTGCGGTTTGCTCAATGTGTGTCCACTGTAGACGCGTTAGTACGCTAGTGTTGTCGTGGCACGCATGTGCGCATCCAACACGAGCCAACTCACCAGCGACCCAACATTGGCAAACTCCTTGTCAGCGGTGATGAGGACGGACTGGACGAGGAACTTGTCACGGCATTTCGCGTCGGGAGCGGGGTCCTCCTTCATGGCCTGGAGCAGGACTGCAGATGTGTCAGTTTGCTGTGCGCATCCTGTGGACTAGGCGTGGACAAGGCTGGTCGTACTTTGGACTTGGACATCTTCGCCGGGCTCAATGCGTCCACTGTTGGGGCGAACGCAGTATCTAATGGGTTGGCATCAGTCGGTGACACGTGGTGAGGAGGGGGGAGGGCGGGGGG